AAGCAGATTCTCCTCTTAAAGCTTCCAAATAAGAGCCCATACCATCTGGCACCTTGATATTAGCCTGGTGAGAGCCTAAGAAAAGTGCCCAACTGAGCCCACTGGGTTCAACCTGCAGAACTGTGAGATAATAAATTAGAGTCGATCAGTTTGTGGTAATTTGTATGGCAGCAAGAGGAAACTAATAGAGAAATCAAACATGTCAATTTTTGCCTTATGGTTTATGTGTCTGGATTTTTTTTTTTCAAGTTTTTTCTTACCCCTGTGCATGCATGAATTTCCAGCCTTGTAGGGGGGTTTGCCCCCCATGAGGGTGAAAATTGGTTCTTGGGAGGTGAAAAAACCCCATTCATTTATGTTTAAAGCACAAGTATCTATATCTATGTATCTATATCTATATATGCACTATATATATGTGTGTATATATATATATAGGAAACCAACATAACTGGCGTTAACATCCCCTCTGGAGGGTTGCATTTATGAAAAAAAAGTCTTTAAAAAAACTTCTTAGGAGTTTTTATGAGTTTTAGGTGATAATTAAAAGAAGATTGCAAAACACTGGCTCCATGTCACAATGATATTCTTCTACATTTTATTTATTTATTTATTTATTTATTTAGAGACAGAGCCTCACTCCGTTGCCCAGGCTGGAGTGTGGTGGCACAATCATGGCTTACTGAAGCCTTGAACTCTCAGGCTCTAGTGATGCTCCTACCTCAGTCTCCCGAGTAGCTGGAACTACAGGTATGCACCACTATGCCTGGCTACTTTTTAATTTTTTGTAGAGATGGGGTCTTACTATGTTGCTCAGGCTGGCCTCAAACACCTGGATACCAGCAATCCTCCTGCCTCAACCTCCCAAGTGCTACGATTACAGGCATGAGCCACTGCACACAGCCTACATTTTGTTTTATTAACTTTATAGTCTTTATCTTTCATATTGAGGTCTTTAAGTTATATAGAATTTTAGTTTACTGAGTTCCTCTAAAAATTTGTATGGAATTTTTATTGAGATTGCATTGAATGTATAGGTTAATTTGGAGAGAATCAACATCTTTATAATATTAAATCATCCTGTCAAGAACATAGAAAGTCACTTCAAACATTGGGAGTATCTTCTGTTTCCTTTACTAGAATTTTAAAGTTTTTTTTCCACAGAGGGCCTTTGTTATTTCCAAAACACTAAAACATCTGTGGCTGTTGCGAATGGTGTCTTATTTTCTATTCTGTATTTATTCAAATCTAAGATGCTATCAATGTAAGATGCATCCCAATTTTAGAGACATTAAAATGTTAAAAAATTTGTGTCTCATTTTTTCTATTGATTTATTGCTAGTATAAAGAAATACTATTGATTTTTATGGGCTAATCTTGTATCTGGCAATGCTGTTTCTAAGTTCTAATAATTTTCCTGCTAATCCTGTTGATTTTCCTAGGTAAATGATGATAGTTTAATCTCTTCCCTTCCAATGTTTTCTTTCTCTCTTTCTCTCACTCTCGCTCTCTCCCTCTCTCATTGACTATGACCTCTAGTATCATGTAATCGTTAGTGGTGAGAGTCAACTATGAATTTTCAGTTTATGAGATCGATAAGTTATTTTTCTTTAGTCGATGTGGTTGAGGTGTCTGAAATTTACAACTCAAGAGCCCTAACGGATGGATCCTGAGTGCAGAACTATAGCCAATTCTTGAAGAAAACCAACGTTTTTAGTAATCTAGCTTCTCTGCACTACCTGATATAAATGTAGTGGCTTAACACCACCTTGGTTTATGATGAAGGCAAATTCTCTTAGAAAGGAGGTGTGGAAGGCTGGGCTTGGTGGCTCATGCCTGTAATCCCAGCACTTTGGGAGGCTGAGACAGGCGGATCACGAGGTCAGGAGATCGAGACCATCCTGGCTAACACAGTGAAACCCCATCTCTACTAAAAATACAAAAAAATTAGCTAGGTGTGGTGGCGGGTGCCTGTAGTCCCAGCTACTCGGGAGGCTGAGGCAGGAGAATGGCGTGAACCTGGGAGGTGGAGCTTGCAGTGAGCCGAGATCGCACCACTGTACTCCAGCCTGGGCTAGACAGCGAGACTCCATCTCAAAAAAAGAAAAAAAAGAAAAGAAAAGAAAGGAGGTGTGGGCAGGAAGAGAATAATTGCTGGGTTTAGTACCAAATAATAATTAAGGTAATTATAAAGATAATGATGATCTATCTTTATGACTTTACATTTTCAAAACAATCCTTTATCACATTTGATTCATGGGAGTCCTAACAAGCTGGACAGGAAAAGAATCATTATGTTTGTTTTCCACATGAGGAAAGGAGAGCTTGAGTTTCTATTTGGGTCCAATGATAGTCTTTTGGGGATTGGGTTTCAAGGGCAGGAGGAGCAGGGTAATAGGATAGGAGAGAGTCTCTGGACCACGAAGAACTGGGAGAGTTGCTTATTTAAAACATCCTGCAAAGCAGGGCTCAAAGCAGAACTAAACACTAGAGGATGAGCCAAATCAGAAAGAATACTGGATCTGAATGGAGAAGGAGGGCCAATGAGTGGCCCAGAACTGTAATTTTGAACCAGTTTCTAGACTAGAGTTCCACAGAACCCAGTTCCATGAAAACTTGTTATTGCAAAAGGAGCCCACATCATAACTTAAATTTTTGTGCCGTGTTATGTTTGTGTATGCAGTAAAGGACTTCAACATAGCAACTCTGTTTGAAATTTTGTTAAAGGTCTTTTAGCCCTGGAATCAATCAGGCAATCAGGGTTCCACTAGGGAAACAGAATCAGTAAGTTTTATATATTAAGACATGTATTGCAAGGAATTGGCTTAAGCCATTGTGGGGACTGCCTAGACAAGTTTGATATCCATAGGGCAGACCATGAGGAAGGAAGCCTTGAACCCCAGGTGCAGGAGCTGAAGCTATAGTCCTACAGTTAGAATTTCCCCTTCCTGGAACATCACACACCGGGGCCTATTGTGGGGAGGGGGGAGTGGGGAGGGATGGCACTGGGAGTTATACCTGACGTAAATGACGAGTTGATGGGTGCTGACGAGTTGATGGGTGCAGCACACCAACATGGCACATATATACATATGTAACAAACCTGCACATTGTGCACATGTACCCTAGAACTTGAAGTATAATTAAAAAAAAAAAAAGAATTTCCCCTTCCTTGAGGACGCCTCAGTTCTGCTCTTAAAGTCCTTCAACTGATTAAATCAGGCCCATCCAGATGATCTAATATAATCTTCCTTGTTTAAAATAAACTGATTATATAGACTAATATGGTTTGGCTGTGTCCCCACCCAAATCTTATCTCTGATTGTAATCCAAATTGTAATCCTCATGGGTTGACGGAGGGACCTGGTGGGAGGTTATTGGATCATGGGGGCGGTTTCCCTCATGCTCTTCTCATCATGATGAGTAAATTCTTATAAGATCTGGTTATTTGATAAGTGGCACTTTCCCCTGCTCTCTCTTCCTCCTGCTGCCATGTAAGATGTACCTTGCTTCCCCTTTGCCTTCTGCTATGATTGTAAATTTTCTGAGGCCTCCCTAGCGATGTGAAACTGTGAGTCCATTAAACCTCTTTCCTTTATAAATTACCCAGTCCCAAGTAGTATCTTTGCAGTAGTATGAAAATGGACTAATACATAGACTTTAACCACATCTGCAAAATACCTTCACAGCAACAACTAGTTAGTGTTTGATTGAGTAGCTGAAGACCACAGTCTAGCCAAGCTGGCACCTAAAACTCACTGTCACAGTCCCTGTGACAGTGTGCTGGAGAGCAATGTCCACTCTGTTGAGTCCATTCTCAGATGAGTCCATTGAGTCAAGACAAGGAGGCTGTGGATAACAAGCAAATTCCGAATTGCCCGGAAATGAAGAGAGTAGGATGATGGCATGAGCTTCTCCCTCCCACGTGACCTTGCAGAGCCTCCCCTTACTTGCTGCTGACTGGTTTATAGAAGCAAATGAGCTCTACTGGTGTAATAGAAACTCAGAGAGAAATTTTAAGACTGAAATTTTCACCCTCTGTGACCCAGCTGCCTCACCTTGACTCTTTGCTGTCATTGAAAACACTGCAAAATAGACTGAGCGGATAAGAGACTTGTAATGTGAAGTTTTGTGTTTTGTGTTTCATTTTCTTTTTTTTTTTCTTTTGAGATGGAGTCTCACTCTGTTGCCCAGCCTGGAGTGCAGTGGCATGATCTCGGCTCACTGCAACCTCTGCCTCCCGGGTTCAAGCGATTATCTTGCCTCAGCCTCCAGGAGAGTAGCTGGGATTACAGGCGCATGCCACCATGCCTGGCTAATTTTTGTATTTTTAGTAGACACAGGGTTTCACCATGTTGGCTAGGTGGGTCTCGAACTCCCAACCTCAGGTGTTCTACCTGCCTAGGTTTCCCAAACTGCTGGGATTATAGGTGTGAGCCACAGTACTCAGACTTCTTGTGCTTTTTATTTTGTATTTTATTAACATTTGTGTTTACAGTTTCTTTTGAGGGTCATGTGGTGAGTTGTGAAGATGAGGTATGATATGATGGAGGAAAGTTCCAGGTCTAGACCTATAGACAGTCCTGGTAAAATCAGTGATGGAAAATCACACACAGGACCTGAAACTGAAGTCATCAATGAGGAATTACAGTTTCTATGGACTGAATGCCTGTGTCTCTGGCCCAAATTCACATATGAAACCCAACCTGACCCCAGTGTAATAGTATCTGGAGGTGGGGGCTTTGGGAGGTGATTAGGTCGTGAGGGTGGAGACCTCATGAATGGGATTGGTGCCCTTATAAAAACGGACACTGAGAGAGATACCCTCTCTCCCTCTGTTACATGAGAATACAGCAAGAGGGCAGCCATTTGTAAACTTGGAAAAGAGTTCTTACCAAGAACCCATCCATGCTGGCATCCTGATCTCAGACTTCCAGCCTCAAGAACTTTGAGGAATAAATGCTGTTTAAGCCACCTAATCTACGATATTTTTCTTATAACAGCCAGAAGTGACTAAGATGACAATCTTCAGGACACAGAGAAGCTGCTCCTTGTGATGAAAGCCACTCCTCAATGAGCTTCGTGAAGGCTGGTGATCCACATGGTCCTACCCCGCCCCACCCATGTGTCTCTGTGGCAAACAACTCACAAGTGCAACAGTGGCCTGGCCCACTGAAAACACACTGAGCTACAGGCCACTGCTATTGGTAAGGTAAGAGGCTATTTTAAATGGCAATTGGAATCTCAAAGAGTGGACAAGTTTTGTTAAAAAGTCACCCTCAGGCACAGGAAGCAAGATCTAGTAGCAGACATTATTGGCCAGAAAAGGGAAGGCCACACAGGTGGTGAGAATCTAATAATGCCTGTAAAATTTCAGTGAGTAAACTGCCAGGACAAGCTGCAATATGAGGGATTGGAAAGGTTTCACTCTCAGGGAATACAATATCAATCCATGTATTGATGGGATGTCACATGATGCTGAAGGGGTTTGTGCAATAAACTGAAAAGCAATATCTTCTCTGTCTAGGTTGATGTGTCAACAGATTTTGCCAATACATGTCTTAGTATTTGTAAGGCTTTTAAATGATGAAACTCAAGAATACGATTTCTGCTGCAAAGAGCTGCCCAAAACAAGTATATATATTTGTTTTGGGCAGCTCTTTGCAGTAGAAAACATATTTTCAATATATATTTTCTAACTTTTTGCATATTATTATTTTTCTATTAAAGCTTTATTGAGGTATAACTGATATACAATAAACTGCATAATTTTATGAGTTTTGATATAATTGTACATCTGCAAAACCATCACCACAATCAAGATAATGAACACAATTATCACCTCCAAAAGCTTCCTCATGCCCTTGTATATATAATCCATTTCTCTCTACTCCCCACCCTTGTCCCCAGTCATTGATCTGCTTTCTGCTACTATAGATTCGTTTGCATTTTCTAGAATTTAATATAATGCCGTCGTAGGTACCGTCATGCATCACATAATGACATTTCAATCAATGATGGACTGCCTGTATATGACAGTGGTTCCATAAGATTTTAACACTGTATTTTTCCTGTGCCTTTTCTATGTTTAAATATGTTTAGATACACAAACACTTACCATTGTGCTCAAATTGCCTGCTGTATTCAGTACAGTCACGTGCTGTACAGTTTTGTAGTCTGGGAGCAATAGGCTGTATCAGATAGCCTAGGTGTAGTAGGCTGTATTAGGTAGCCTAGGTCTACACCTAGTCTGTGTGATACAGCCTATTGCTCCCAGCCTAGACCATCTAGGTTTGTCATAGAGTACACTCTATAATGTTATTATAATAATGTTATATAATAATGAAATTGCCTAACTGTATACTTCTCAGAATGTACCCCTGTCATTGAGTGACCCACGACTGTATCCTTTCGTGTCTGGGATGGGAAAGAAGGACTTCTTGTGGAATGCTCACTCTTAAGACCCAGCTGCCATGCAAAGCCCCAGTTAGCTGTGTGGAGAGGTCACGTGGAGAGAGCCTTCCAACCATCCCCACCGTGGTGCCAGACAAACGAGCAAAGCTATGCTGAATGTTCCAGCCCCAGCTGCCACCTCACTGAAGCCATACAAAAGACTTCGGGTAAGAGCAGCAGAAATGAGCCAGCTGGTCAACCCACAGAATTGTGCGATGTAATCCAATGGTTGTCATTTTAGCCATTACATTTTGGAATGGTTGATTATCCAGCCACAGATAACTGAGCAATCTAATATTCAACCCCTGTCAGAAGTTCCCAGGATAATGAAAGTCACCTTACTATAGAGCGACATCTGCCCTTTTCTGGTCTTTGGGCACTTTGTTCCCGTGACTGAAAAGGAAAAAGTCAGCCTCTGCCTCCCTCTCTAGTCCTGCAGCCAATAGCCAGACTCTTCAGAGCCCAGGCAGACCCATCTCTGTCATGCCCAGAGCAGAGTTGGGGGCTTCTGTGGCTCAGGGGTGTGGACTCACATTCGCTTCTGCACCCCTACCTCAGAAGCATTTGGTGCCTGCACCCTGTCACCTCCTCCTGCCTTTTCTCCTGCTCTCAGGCAAAAACCACCCATAACTTGTTAAGCTGCAGATTCCTAGGCTATGCTGCCACAGATGCCGTTTCAGTCAGTCTAGGGCTTGGCTGAGCAGGATGTGGAGTTTTCCACTGCAGATGACTGTGACACAGGACAATGATGGGATGATATTCAGACCATGTTTTCAGAAACTCTGCCCCGGATTCACAAGGCTTTTCTGGTGTTCAAGGGACATTTCCTTGTTATGAGCTGTTCTTGATAAGTGAGAGTGAGCATGCATGAGAATGTGTGTGAGTACGTGTATGTGTAAGCATGGGGTGAGAGTGAATGAGTGTGAATGAGCACGTATGTGTGTGTGTGTGAACATATGATTATAGTGTATGGGGAGGAGGTGGGGCAGGGCAGCAGTCCTGGGGTACGACACAGGGTTGGGTGTCACTGGCAGGAAGACACAAGCCCAGGATGGGGTGTAGGTGCCTGGTGAGGACGAGAAGGGTTGGGGCGGTTGCACCAAATGACAAGGGCTCTGAGATGGGAGTCGGTGAGCTATAGGACAATGTGTTCCCCACACTTGTGGCCAGCAGCTCCAAGCAGCCGCTCCACCTTCTTTCCCTAAAAACACATGTGCCTGTGGTCAGTCTGAGTCCAGAAGCCTCATGTTATAAAAAGGTATCTTGTGCAGGGCAATGGAAAAAGAGGGCAAAGAAAGACCACATGTACCTGGGAAAGGATCTGGGACTTGCTGGAACTTGGCAGGCAGCTTGGCCCTCCCATGGCATGTGGCCATGTGGCCAAACTGCATTAGCTTTGGTGCTGGATGGGCCCAGCGGTGGGGGATTTCGCCCTTATTTTTCTACTGCCCCTGTTTAAGGTGGACTCCTGGTGCTTGAGGTGTGGCATTGTGGCGTGCTTTAAAAAATTATCTGCTCCCATTTGGAAAGTGAAAGACATAATAATAGTAATAATAACAGCTGCTAGTGTTTATGTAGCAGAGTCCACCATTCCAGACATCAAAAGCTAAGTGCTTTTGGGGCAACTTGGGTGATCACAGACATTTTCTGGAATACTGATCCTGAAACCAATTTTAAAGCAAAGTATAGATATAAAGAAAAATGCACAAACCCTAAGTGTGCCCCTCAAAGAGTTATCACAGGGGAGCACACCTGTGTGACCAAGTGAGCCTGCTCAGCTCCCTGGAAGCCACCCTGGGATCCTGCACAACCTCTAACCCCCTCCTCCTTCCCAAAGGTAATTGCTGTCCTGACTTTGTACACCATGGGTTAGATTTGGCTATTTATGACCGGGCATGGTGGCTTAGGCCGCCACCCAAGTTTGGGAGGCCAAGACAGGTGGATCACTTGAGGTCACGATTTTGATACCAGCCTGGCCAACATGGTGAAATCCCATCTCTACTAAAAACACAAAAATTAGCCAGGCGTGGTGGTACATGCCTGTAATCCCAGCTACTCAGGAGGTTGGGCAGGAGAATTACCTGAACCTGGGAGGAAGAGGTTGCAGTGAGCAGAGATCAGGTCACTGCACTCCAGCCTGGGCAACAGAGCAAGACTCTGTCTAAAAAAAAAAAAAAAAAAAAGGTTTGCCTGCTTATAAACTTCACATGCACTGAACCATAGCCTATGTAGTTTTTTGTGACTGCTTCTTTACTCCACATGGTACTTGTAAGATTCATCCTTGTGGCTTGTGATTGCCTGTGATAGTTTTTCCTTCATTTTCTTTCCTGTATAGTATTCCATTGTGTGACTATACCACATTTTTTTTTTTTTTTTTGGAGATGGAGTCTCACTCTGTTGCCCAGGCTCACTGCAGCCTTCACCTCCCAGGTTCAATCAATCCTCCCACATCAGCCTCCCAAGCAGCTGGGGCTACAGGCATGCACCACCACACCTGGCTAATTTTTTTTTTTTGGAGATGGGATTTCTCCATGTTGCCCAGGCTGGTCTCAAACTCCTGTGCTCAAGTGATCTACCTGTCTTGGCCTCACAAAGTGCTGGGATGACAGGCTTGAGCCACTGTGCCTGGACGATGCCACATTTAATTTATCCATTCTGGAGTTGATAGAGGATTTTTTTTTTCCTCCTGGTTTGGGTAGCTCCACTTTTTACTGTTTTACTATTATTTTATGTCTCTGTGCAGCTCACAGTCAAAAGTACTGGATTCATGTCCTGGATACTCTACTTACCAGCTCTGTGAACCTTGGGAAAACTATTTACCCTTTCTGAGTCTCATTTGTCTCTGCAAGCAATAATGCCTAATTTCCCTTGGTTTCCTACTCAATCAGCAAGCATTTATTGGTCACCTGCTATGTGCCATCATTCTAGGAGATTTAGCAGTGACTGACACAAAGATCCATGTTCCACATGTTTGTACCTTTGTCCCTTCAATTCCCTGTCTTTGGGAAGCTCTTTTTTTCCCAGATCCATCCTTCTTCTTCCTTACCCCCACCCACATTTTTGCTTTGTTATTTTCTGCTCATCCTTCTAGATCGAAGTCTGATATCCTTTCCTTTCCTCTAGGAAGCCTTACATGGCCCCTGGCAGAGTACTGGCCACTGTTTACTGAAATGTTGGGGGCTTGGTCTGCACGCCTGTGAGCTTCCTCAGGGCAAGGGCTGATTTCCTGCACCTTTGGCATCCGCAGTGCCTATTCCAGGGTTAAGCTCAGGGTAAAGTCTTAGTACAAGTCAAGGAGAACTTTTTTGTACATGTAGCCAAATAAGCCAGTGTGGTGGCCACTCAGGTCGTATCTGCTGAGTTAGCACATCAAGATGGTAGTCCTGCCCCTGAAACCAGAGCTTATTCCAGGTGGTTTTCAGGGGGTTCAGCCACATTACCGGGGTGATTAGGTATGAAGAGTCCTGGAGTTCTTTGGGCAAAAAAACTTGCTCTCTCCAAGCCTCGATTTTGTCCATTAAATGGCTACCTTTACAAGGTTATCTGTGTATACTCGAGTGCCTGGCATCTAAGAATAATGACTTCATTGATTGAAAGCTTATTAGATATTCAGCTTAAAAGGCACTTTACATATTTTAACTAATTTAATCAACACAACAGACCGTGATGGAGGAGCTGTCACTATTTGTATCAACTTACAAATGAGGAAACTGAGGCACTGAGTGTTTAAGGGACTTGCCTAACGCTACACTGACACAGCCAGTAAGTGGTAGAACTAGGAAGGAGACTGGTCTTGACTGCTAGGAGCTGCAGCTGCCACCCAGAGACCCAGCTCAGAAACTTCCAGACAGCATGGTAGCACAAAAGGCTGCACAAACCTTCCTGATCTTTCTCTTCCCCATTCCTTTAGGGCCAGTTCAGGCAGTAAAGTTGCAGCTTCCTTTGAAGTATTTTCCCTTCTCTCCTGATGAGGCCTCGGGAAAATGAGTCGTTTCCTTATCTCAGCAGCAAAGAAACTGTCCAAAGACAGCAGTAGCATCTCTGTGGGAAGCTCAGGAATACTAATGATAAAACAAATTGATACATTCCATTTCAAATGTGTTGATGAGAAAAACTAATTGAGAAGCTCATTCATTTATTTAACAAGGATTTAGGGAGTACCAACTCCATACCAGTGTGAAGAATTAACTCTAAACAAAACAGCGGAGGCCCCTGGCCTGATGAAGCTTATGTTCTTGAGTTGGGATGTTACCAGAGGCGAATCTGTAGCAGTCTGCAGCAATCTCAGTTCTTGCCTCTTTAGAAGAAAGAATTTGAAGGAGTGACAGAAGGGAGAAGGAGAGACTGAGGCCAGTTTTAGAGCAGGAGTGAAAGTTTATTAAAAAGCCTTACTGGCCAGGTGCGGTGGTTCACACCTGTAATCGCAGCACTTTGGGAGGCTGAGGCAGGCGGATCACCTGAGGTCAGGAGTTCAAGACCAGCCTGGCCAAAATAGTGAAACCCTGTCTCTACTAAAAATACAGAAAATTAGCTGGGCGTGGTGGCATGCACACGTAATCCCAGCTACTCGGGAGGCTGAGGCAGGAGAATCACTTGAACCTGGGAGGCGGAGGTTGCAGTGAACTGAGATCATGCCAGTGCACTCCAGCCTGGGCAACAGAGACTCTGTCTCCAAAAAAAAAAAAAAAAAAAAAAAAGCTTTACTGCAGAAACAAAAGGAAGGAAAGTATACTTGGAAGAGGACCAAGTAGGTGACTTACAAGACAAGTTTGACTTTTTGACTTGGGGTTTTATATGTTGGCATGCTTCTTACGTCCCTTCTTCCCTGATTTTCCCCTTGGGAGGGGCTGTCTGCATGAGCAGTGCCTGCCAGTGCTTGGGAGCGGAGTATGCGCAGTGTGTTTACTAGAGTTGTACGCATGCTCACTTGAGACGTTCTTCCCTTACCAGCCCAATGTCCCTTAGAAGGTTATATACCAGTTAAACTCCACCACTTCGCCTCTTAGGGCACGTGTGTGTGCCCACTCACCCAACTGCTAAGATTTTACCAGGAAGCTACTGATCACCAGTTTCAGGTTTTTCCCTTCGATAGGGCGACTGCGTTCCCCTGGCACTGGCTGGACCAATTATTATTTTAGAGAGACAGTTAACAACCACCTGACCATCA